ATTTAACCTAACGCTTATATAACCTACTCTAATCTATCCAATTATTACATAACCTAACCTCATACTGACCTGATCTAACCTAACCTTATACCTTACATGACCTACCATAACCTAACCTTATACTTTACTTGACCTAACATAACCTAACCTTATACCTTACTTGACCTACCATAACGTAACCTTATACCTTACATGATCTAACATAACCTAACCTTATACCTTACATGATCCAACATAACCTAACCTTATACCTTACATGATCCAACATAACCTAACCTTATACCTTACATGACCTAACCATAACCTAACCTTATACTTTACTTGACCTAACATAACCTAACCTTATACCTTACTTGACCTACCATAACGTAACCTTATACCTTACATGATCTAACATAACCTAACCTTATACCTTACATGATCCAACATAACCTAACCTTATACCTTACATGATCCAACATAACCTAACCTTATACCTTACATGACCTAACATAACCTGTTCTAACCTAACCTTATACCTTACATGACCTAACATAACCTGTTCTAACCTAACCAAATGTAACCTAACCAAATGTAACCTAACCAAATGTAACCTAACCTAATCTAACCTTACTACCCGGGTAACGTTAGGGCGAAATAAGCTGTGGTGGCTAATTTTCAGGTGATACAAATATAGTTCTTCCATAGAGACAAAGGCTAATGTTATTCTTTTAATCAACCGTAAGACACAATGTGTTGAACTAATATCGATTTCACATTAAAAGATAAAATTAACGTGAAAAAAACGAAGCTTGACGCATTAATGCTCCTCTTGTTGCAACAGGTGAAGTTATTTCGTATTTTGGTAAGGTTTTTTAAGTTAATCAGTAGTTCTCAGTAGTTAGGTGAGATTTGGTGAGTTTAGCTGAAGTGAATTTAAAGATTTACTGTGAAGAACAACAAGACTTGAGTTTACTATGAGGAAAACTTATTGTGTCGAAGCTTTTTTTGGGTCTGGTTGGTGTGTGTAGGTGATGCTGCTGGGATCTGTTTATCAGTCTGCTCACGATAAAGGTTACATAAAGTTGATGAAAAAAATCGCATCTACCAGGTGTTATCAGGTAACTGTTTGCATGATATCAATGATGTTAAATTGATGTGAAATGGGAAAATGTTATGCGAGGCCATTTTACACTAAACTGGTGGTAAATAAGGAACCCTTTTACTCTGCTCTTAAGTTCATTCTCATATATATATATAACCCTGACAGAAGTGCCATTGTCAGGCTTTATTCCCCGACTGCCAGTACACAGATGTGGAAGGAAACACCTGTATGATAATCAAAGAAACACTCAGGTAAGTTTATACCTCCGCAAGGACCGCTGATAATTTTTTCCACCTGGTGCTGTGACTAACAGACTAATGAGACTGGAATTAAACTGTTTAAGAGTCAGTCCTCGAGGCTCTATGACTGTAAACTCTGGGGTCTCTTCAATCATGACTTAATGAACATAACTGCCAGGGGAAGAAACTTTTAAAGCAAATTCTTGATGTTCATTCTTGATGTTATAATAATTGTTGCCAGGCCAGCTGTCTACACCTACAGTAAAAGTGGTGCTTAACTCCGTCGTTCATGAGGGGGGAGCCGTCCAGTAAGGAGCATCACCTCAGTTTTACTACACACCGTTCTGTCATTGAAAGACATAACAAGCAAGATCCTGAGGACTTCGGGGTATGTGCCGTACACCTATAACGTAAATACCTTAATCTATCTATATAAAACAAAGAAGTACAGGGTGAGCATAAAGTCTTTCCCTGATTACAAACATTTATTACACAAAACATATGCTAGGTATAAACATACAGTTTTTTGCAGCTTAAAATATGCATGAAAAAAAATCTATGAATTCGTCTACACAATGCTACAATATTCATGTTTCTATCTAGAATGGTCTTCGAGATATGATTTTCCATAATCAGGGAAAGACTTTTTGCTCACCCTGTATGTCTGTTTGTGTGTTTGTTTGTGTGTCCGCACGAGAATCACGGAAACTACTTTACTGATCTGTAGTGATGATGGATGGTGTTATAGGTAGTGATGATGGATGGTGTTATAGGTAGTGATGATGGATGTTGTTATATGTAGTGATGATGGGTGGTGTTATATGTAGTGATGATGGATGGTGTTATAGGTAGTGATGATGGATGGTGTTATAGGTAGTGATGATGGATGTTGTTATATGTAGTGATGATGGGTGGTGTTATATGTAGTGATGATTAGACAATAAAAATATAACAGTTTAATGCAAAAAAATATACTTTGCTGTACCGTTGTAGTGAAAAACATGGTGGAACTTACATACACCGTTAATGAACTATTGATGGAAGAAGAAGTTTTGGGGACTGAACAGTGAGACAACGTGGAGCCTCCCGGAGGGTGGCATCCTACCGTGGCCTAGCGAAAGAGCCGTTTCTGCTAGTTTATAATAATGTTTGTTGTAATTGTTTAACATAGTTAACTTATACCACGTGATTTTTTTTTATGTTTAATATAATTCTAAAACTTAGTCTTACACTTATCCATTCCCAGGACTGGTATTCTCTGTTGTAGTGAGGTAGTTATTCCCAGGACTGGTATTCTCTGTTGTAGTGAGGTAGTGATTCCCAGGACTGGTATTCTCTGTTGTAGTGAGGTAGTGATTCCCACGACTGGTCCAGTGGTTGTGGGTGTTTATTGTTTCCAGAACACAAAAGTCTGTGCTTCACCTCCTGGTACAGTCGGCCACAGTTCCTCCTGTTACAGTACTTGGCACATTTTGAGAGCTATGGCAGCTCTGTGTTTGTTTACATTATAGTAAAACTCCCAAAATGGCCCTAAGGAACCTCATAATAGTAGCCACACTAAGCATGCGAAATAAACAGTCCACCTCTATCTGTGAATACACGCATTTCTTGTATGGTTATACTTTTAATACATATGTGGCGGTGAAGCAGTGTGTTGTGACGTAAGGAGAGAGAGAGAGAGAGGAGGGGGTTCTTTGTCAGTTAGGGGAGAGGTGCACCTACAGTACTATCGTGTCTGGTAATGTGTCCTCAATCTGTGAATGATATTTGGTATGTGTATTTAGGTAATATTGCGATAAACCAATATAACGTTATTACAGCCAGTCTTCTTTATTATGTGGACAACATTCGTACTCTGCATGTTAACTCGTTTGCCAAACATGCATATAGTAGTTTAGCTAAATTTTAGAAGTGATTTCTAAACTTGCCTCCAAGGGTGACCTGATATGTGATTTGTCTTTACTCTTAATTGAATAATATCAAGTTTGGTATCTGTATGATTCACTCATGACGGTTTTAAGAAAATATGTGTTAAACCAGTCCTGCCACCACCACACAACCTCACCCACCCCACACACCATGATAAAGCCTACCACTATCCACTTTTATTCTGCCATCTCTTACACTATGTTGGTATAGTGTCAGGAAGATGGGTATGGATAAGGTATAGTGTCAGGAATATGGGTATGGATAAGGTATAGTGTCAGGAATATGGGTACGGATTAGGTAGTGCACTCTACTTCATTTCTGTGTGGCTAGTCATAAAAGTAGGATATGTACCAATTTAGATTTTGGAAGCTATTTTGACGGCTATTTCTAGATCATGTTATTACTAGCTTAACAAGTTGAACAGGTGAACGAAGAGTAATGAGAAAATAAGACAATAATACACAAATAAAATAGAGAAACAAGACTAAACACCATCAGGTTCTCCTTAACTGGTGCTGAGTGAGACACACACAATCAGGACATGCACACGTCGCCTCATCGCTTGACACATAATTCACTTTGTTCACTTAGCAGATTAATCAGCGGGGCTTCCATCTCCATTTCTCTCTTACGTCGTCACACATTATTCGTGTCCACTGTGCGTGTCTCCTGACTGACATATTCCACCGACATGTTCTCAGATTTCAACAATTATATTACTGACTCAAACCTTCTGTAATGCGGTCATTGTCTCCTTCCCTTCACTGTATGATCGTATTATTCAGTATTATTCATATACACCTTATTCAACTATGAAAGAGGGTCGTCCCATATGCATTGCACCAGAGACTAAGCCTTCGGTACACAAGGAGGCAGCATGGCCGGTACTGCACTAGACTGTCTTCACTTCCCCAAATTGAAAATTACTTCTGGGAATACTGGGAGTGACCAAGTTCGAACCAACGACAATTAGAAAAGGAGACGAGTAGTATATCCAATCGGCCACCGCATTACATAATAAAGACTATTTTATCACCAGCACGTTTCTTCATGGACCTATTTACTGTGGTATATAATTATGTTCTTTACTACAGAATTCTTTTAATTCCTCTGATACAGCGTAATTTATTTATTTCTTACCTCTTCAAAGAACTGTATTCCAGACTACAGTGTGTCATACAATCTTCTTTCTATAAATGTCTATTGGAGTTAGTTCCTTAGGTTAGGTTAGGTTAGGTTAGGTTAGGTTAGGTATAATAATGAGATTACCCACAACACACAATTTACACCCATCAGGTATCAGTATAATAATGTTCAAATTTACCTTAATTATGCTCATTTATATTTGTAAAGCAAAATCAGTTGTATTAGAAGAGAGAGAGGAATTTAGTTTTTTATTAATTTATTTATTTATTTATTTATTTATTTATTCCGAGATATCTAACATTAATTTAGTGATTTTGGATACACACGTGGGCAGTTGTGTTGATAGATAGAATGGGCATTGGTAGGTACTGTAGGTTGATCTTAGGGAAGGTAGTGGTGGTGCAGGTGGTGATGGGAACTTAAGACTGATGGGACACAACTGAGACACTAATACGACACAACTGAGACACTAATGGAGCACTACTATGACACTAATGGGACATAACTAAAGGGACAAATGGAACACAACTGAGACACTAATGGGACACACACACACACACACACACACACACACACACACACACACACACACACACACTGACCTTCTGGGTAATAGTGCTGGCGGATGGTGGAGGTCTTAACATCATGCCTCTTGAGTCCTGGCATGTGCTTCTGGAAGGAGTTCATCTCCCTCTCGGCGATGACTTTGAGGCCGTCGATCACGTTGTCGTCTCCCAAGTCCTCATACTTGGAATACTTCGCCTGCCCGCCACCATCTGTTCGACCAAGAGACAATATGTATTAGATAAAAGAAAGATACAAAGTGATATGTTGAACTAGATTTAAAAGCTCGTATTTCCTATCTATAAGTAAACATATGTAATTTAATTCCTTTGAGTACGATGACTTAATCCCCGAGTATGAAAATTTAACCTCATTGAGCAGGATGTCCTGTCAGCTCCTTGAGTATGATGACCTAACCCCATAAGTACAAAGACTTCAGTCATTGAGTACGAAGTCTCAACTTTCTGGGTACAATAAACCTTGAGGAGTACGATGATTTTGTACTCAAGGGGCTAAATCATCGTAATCAAGGACTTAAATCATCGTAATCAAGGACTTAAATCATCGCATTAAAGGATTAAGTCATCGTAATCAAGGGGCTAAGTCACCGTAGTCAAGGGGTTAAATCATCATAATGAAGGAGTTAAACATGCTTCGATATTCACTGAACTAATCTCAAGTCGGGCAGCTTCTCATCCGTAAGAGACTCGTGTTACCCAGTATTTGCCCAACTCACGATGAAATCCAGGTTAGATACGGTAAAACACAGAATAAAAACGTAAGACATAGATTTTACACAACTAGAAGAAAGAAAAGGAACGAAAAAAGCTTAAGATTCATAGGCAGTCTGTCCAAATGTCACATATACGCTGACATCTTCACCTTAAGAAATACAATAGTTTAGAGCTAAGAGATGAGGTACAGAGAGAGGGGACGGAACTAGTAAGAATCCAAATGTCAATGAAGCGAGACAAAAATCTATTCTTGCAAAAAAACAGCTAAAACAAATGAAGGTATTCCACCAAAATACGTGAGAGTGTTACTGAAGATGTTAAAGTTTGAGGGGCAACGGGGGTGTAACGTCTTATATAAAAGGAGCCCCGCATACCAGGTCCTGCAGGCTGGAGATGTCAGAGATAAATTGGGGTGGAGAGATCACATTTTTCCACAGGCTCAAAAGACATGAAGTCATAAACTGGCGAAGCAAAAAAAAAAAGTCTGCAGCAGCCACTACAAGAGCACAATAACGAGTCTTAAAAGAAGAACAGTTTCTAAATGTGTAGGAAACTTCTACAATGGTGAAACTCTTACAAAAAATTCCAGAGGAGGTCTATTAAGGCAGGTCTTGTGTCATCATTGTAACTGGCTGAGTTACCCGGGACAGAAGATGGTACACGGCCATCCCCTAGTCCACCCGCACCTCCCTACCAAATTTCAACTCTATCTTCAAAACTGTAGAAATGCATAATGAAAACACACACACACACACACACACACACACACATACACACACACACACACACACACACACACACACACACACACACACACACACACACACACACACACACACAGAATCATGCCTCAGCAGAATACTCTGGCTACACCATACGCTCTCTCCACCCTGGAAATGCCATCCTCAGTGACCTCCACCACCAAGCACTGGAAGAGCTGTGGACTACTGCACCACCTCGCCAGCCACCTCCTGCAGCCCCACCAACTAAGTGCAGTCTGCCACTACAACAAATTCAGCCCATAAGAACCCGCACCGATAGATATAAGAACAGCACCATCCCATCTATTGTTAAAATAATAAACAACTCTGATTTATGTACTGTACAGCCCTGTAAATGTATTCAAGCATATTATATCATTATGTCTAAATCAAATGTAAGTCTGTATATTAGCCACCGGTACAACTCTATTAATAAACCGTTTATTATTTTATTATTATTATTTATTAACACACACACACACACACACACGCAGCGCACACACACACGCGCGCGCACACACACACGCACACACACACACACACACACACACACACACACACACACACACCAGCTATCATTATCAAGGTTGTGCTTCCTAATAGTTAAAAAACACTTTGACTTTATCTTAACTGACTTAGGACCAGTACCAGATCCTCAACCACTGCCTTCCTATCGGTGTAGTACACACTTATCAGTGTCTGTCCCCCACTCCCACTCAAGACAGAGACCATCAAGACCTTACAGGCCGATTATTGACTCTGAGTACGCCTTGTTGCGGATAGTTCATCATCCTGGGATCAATGCAGGTGATGACGGGAAACCAAATGGATAAATTATACCAACACACCACACGAAGTTCACACCACTTTCTTCCACGAGAAGTCCGAGATCTCACCCAGCTGACTTGCCCGGATCACACCTCGGATCAAAAGACCTATGCAACAGAGAGACAGAGCCTTTCATCTCAATGACCCATCCGCTACAGGTCACTTCTGCAACAGAGTCATCCGCGAAATACGCACTGAAAAGAAGTCCCACTACCCAACCAAATTACAACACCTGAAGCAGACCAACATCAGTCAATGGTATGGTAAGCTTAAAGAACTCTGTGCCAAACATATGACACACCTCCTCCTAGCCATCTCACTAATGTTGACGCAGCTGAGAAACAAATAAACATTTCTGCTACTATATGCCAGACGCTCCCACGGCTTGACACAACCACTCTTAGTTTACTCACAGCCCCTTCCCACTGACTTAGTAGAAGAATTTGATGGCAAACGCCTGGACAAACTTAAATTAAACGCTCTACCACCCCCATTGACTTACCAATGAAACTATTCAAGAGTTCTCCCGGAGCTTGCTAACCCTCTGCTCCATCATCAATGCTTTCAGTCAGTTCAGATGCCCAGCTGACTGGAAGACCTTATATCACCAGTGCCCAAGTCAACCAGCCCACAACTTAAATCAGCTACGACCTATTGCAATCACCCTACTACTCTAGCCTAATCCAGAAAGTTTCAGTTTGACTGGCGAGCTGATATTGTAGGAGTCGTAGACCAGCAATTTGGCAACATGAAACTTCTCCACCACTCACTGTCTTGTCAGCTTGATTACATATACCGCCATCTCGAGAAACGAAAACGTCTGTAGCTGTCGCTCTTTGATTTCACTAAAGCGTTCGACCAGTCGACCACAATATAATTAAACAAAGCTTATTGACCTCGGGCTGGAGAAGTCTCATACCATGGCTTCCAGACTTCCCAGTGACCGACGCCAAGCTGTACTTCCTGAGGGCTGTCTCCACCTTCAGTCACTCACCCAGTGTCCCCTGCACCAAGATGGACCACTCTGCTCTATGCTCATCAATGATGCCCTAAGAGAAACCCCTGCTCGCTGAATATGTCGACGATTCCACCATTGATGGCGTCAATTCTGTTCCCAACTATACCGCCTTCAGGATTTATTGAACAGTCTCCAAACTGGGCCACCAACAACCATGTCACCATCAACCATACCAAACATGGTTATGTCATCAACCTCTTCCGACATTGTCCCACTCTCCATTACCCTAGGTCCGAACACACCCAGGTGTAGATTCCACGAAGCCTCGGCGTCACATAGACAACAAACTAAATTGGAAACCACACGTCAGTGAAGTTGTCAACCTCCAGCTCTGTCTCCACCTCCTCCGCTGACTCAAGTCCCTCGGAGTTCCTGCACACGAGCTCTCATTGTGTATACACAACATTCATACTCAAGCTCACCTATGCTCTCCACCTGCTCCTCCCTAAATGCCACAACAAACACCTAGAAAAGTGAAAGAGGCATGCAAGATTATTTTCCTACTCTACATAAGAAGGCTCAACACACTGACCTTTCGACTCTCACTGACCATCACCACGGCCTCATCTGCAAATTTGGTAAGAGTTTCTACACCATCCCTGACACCGGCCCCTACTACCACCTGAGATCCTCTCCGAGAATTGCTGTTCGACACCACAACCGCATCCAGCCCATACGTACGAACTGATCGCCATAAGAACAGCCCAGTCCCAACCAAAATTATCAATACATGTAATAAATCGTATTCACTCCCAGTAAACACTGCTCCTTACACTGTCACTATGTTGAAATGAACTGTAGTTTGAGCTGATCCCCATCTAAGTTACTATATGTCTTATTTGTGTCACTTTGTATATTATTTGTAATTGTAACCCATTCCCCAAATATAACTGTATATTTTCTGGGCTGCCAGCTTTTCTTCAATAACCGCACACATATCTCACACACACACACACACACACACACACACACACACACACACACACACACACACACACACACACACACACACACACACACACACACACACACACACACACACACACACACACACACACACACACACACACACACACACACACACACACACACACACACACACACACACACACACACACACACACACACACACACACACACACACACACACACACACACACACACACACACACACACACACACACACACACACACACACACACACACACACACACACACACACACACACACACACACACACACACACACACACACCACACACACACACACACACACACACACACACACACACACACACACACACACACACACACACACACACACACACACACACACACACACACACACACACACACACACACACACACACACACACACACACACACACACACACACACACACACACACACACACACACACACACACACACACACACACAGTCTTTTAATTATACAGAAGGGAACCACCTGAACCCTAAACTAGGCTTGAATAATTTATGTCATAACTGGATATGTAAGTTTCCTGGTATAATATATCACCAACAAGCTGACAATCCCTGTTATTATATCGTGCGAGTCTCTCATTATATCATGTTAACTGCATATATGAGAAGAACTGAAGTTGTGAAGCATGTCGAGAAAGCTGAATTTAGGGAACAAAATTACCATTCTCATGTGATAAATTAAGAAAATATTCATTGCACACGCAGTTGACTTATCATATTTCTACATCACGGTTCACTTACACAGAGCGACAGGTAACAGAAATGATCAAGACCACAGGTAAACACTCTTAAGTATTATGTATTATTAGTCTTACGCTCTAAGAACCTCAGATCCAAAAGGAACCATTATGAGGCTTCAATAGCGAGCCGTGTCATAGTTCCTTCGTTCTACAGTCTTGGTTTTAATGGTGACTGGCAGGTGAGTCCAATAGGAGCTGCTGTGGACTGAGACACAGCCAGATTGTAGCCTCTATCAACGCTGAGGAGAAGTGCCAGTACCACACCCAACCCACAGTGCCCTTAACACACCCGCCCACAGTGCCCCAACAACACACCCGGCCCACAGTGCTCCAACAACACACCACCGGCCCACAGTGCCCCAACAACACACCCGGCCCACAGTGCTCCAACAACACACCCGCCCACAGTGCCAACACACACCCGGCCCACAGTGCCCAACACACACCCGGCCCACAGTGCCTCAACAACACACCCGCCCAGAGTGCCAACAATACACCCGGCCCACAGTGCCCCAAAACACACCCAGCCACAGTGCTCCCGACAACACACCGGCCTGATGTCCGAAACAACACCCAGCCCCACGGTTGCCCCAACAACTTTTTGACCCACGGTGCCCCAACAACACCCAGCCCACAGTGCCCCCAACAACACCCAGCCCACAGTGCTCAAACAACACACCCGTACAGTGTCCAAACCAGCTTTACCGGCCCACGGTGCCCCAACAACACCCAGCCCACCAGTGTCCAAACAACACGCACCAGCCCACGGTGCCCACAACAGCACACCCAGCCCACGATTGCCCAGCAACACACCAGCCCCACGGTGCCCCAACAGCACCCAGCCCACAGTGCCCCAACAACACACTGGCCACGGTGCTAACCAGCACACCCAGCCCACAGTGCCCCAACAACACACCCAGCCCACAGTGTCCAAACAACACACCCAGCCCACAGTGCCCTTAACTTACACCCAGCCACAGTGCCCCAACAACACACCAGCCCGCAGTGCCCCCAACAACACACCCAGCCCACAGTGCCCCAAACAACACACCCAGCCCACAGTACCCCAAGCACGCAAGCCCACAGTGCCTTTAAACAACACCACCAAGCCCCACAGCGTTGCACAACAACACACCAAGCCACAGTGCCCCCAAACAACACACCCAGCCCACAGTGCCCCAACAACACACCCAGCCCGGTGTCCAAACCAGCACACCCAGCCCACAGTGCCCCCAAACAGCTTACCAAAGCCCCACGGTGCCCCAACAATTTTTCAAGCCCACCCATTGCTTTGAAGCAACACACCCAGCCCACGGTATTCCAAACGCTTTACCCAGCCCACAGTGCCCCAACAACACACACCCAGCCCACGGTGCCCCAACAACACACCCAGCCCACAGTGCTTCCAGCTTAGCTTTTATTACAGGTGCCCCAACAACACACCCAGCCCACAGTGCCCCCAACAACACACACCCAGCCCACAGTGTCCAAACAACACACCCAGCCCACAGTGCCCCAACAACACACCCAGCCCACAGTGCCCCAACAACTTTTTGACCCACAGTGCTTACAACCTTACACCGGCCACAGTGCCCCAACAGCACACCCAGCCACAGGTGCCCCAACAACACACCCAGCCCACAGGTGCTTTGCTGCTTACACCCAGCCCCACAGTGTCCAAACCAACACACCCAGCCCACGGTGCTAACAACACCCAGCCCACAGTGCCCACAACAACACACCCAGCCCACAGTGCCCCAACAACACCCAGCCCGCAGTTGCCCCCAAACAACACACCAGCCCACAGTGCCCCAAGCACACCAAGCCCACGATTGCCCCAAACAACACACCAAGCCCACAGTGCCCCAACAACACACCAGCCCACAGTGCCCCAAACAACACACCAGCCCTGATGCCCCAGCACACCAAGCCCACAGTGCCCCCAAACAACACACCCAGCCACAGTGTCCAGAACAACACACCCAGCCCACAGTGCCCCAACAACACACACCAGCCCACAGTGCCCAACAAGCACACCCAGCCACAGTGCCCCAAACAACACACCCAGCCCACAGTGCCCCAACAACACACCCAGCCCACAGTGTCCAAGCAAGCACACCCAGCCACAGTGCTCCCAAACAACACACTGACCCACGGTGCCCCAACAACACACCCGGCCCACAGTGCCCCACAACAACACACCCAGCCCACAGTGTCCAAACAACACACCCAGCCCACAGTGCCCCAACAACACACCCAGCCCACAGTGCCCCAACAACACACCCAGCCCACAGTGTCCAAAACAACACACCCAGCCCACAGTGCCCCAACAACACACCCAGCCCACAGTGCACAACAACACACCCAGCCCACAGTGCCCCAACAACACACCCAGCCCACAGTGCACAGCAACACACCCAGCCCACAGTGTCCAAACAACACACCCAGCCCACCCAGTGTCCAAACAACACACCCAGCCCACAGTGCCCCAACAACACACTGACCCACAGTGCCCCAACAACACACCCAGCCCCACGGTGTCCAAACAACACACCCAGCCCACAGTGTCCAAACAACACACCAAGCCCACAATTGCACAACAACACACCAGCCCACAGTGCCCAACAACACCAGCCCACAGTGCCTAAACAACACACCCAGCCACGGTGCGGCTTCAAGCCCACAGTGCCACAAACAACACACACAGCCCACAGTGCCCCCAACAACACACCCAGCCCACAGTGCCCCAACAACTTTACCCGGCCCACAGTGCCCCAACAACACCCCGCCCACAGTGTCAAACAACACACCCAGCCCACAGTGCCCCAACAACACACCCAGCCCACAGTGCCCTAAACAACACACCCAGCCACAGTGTCCCAAAACCAGCACACCAAGCCCCACGGTGCCCCAACAACACACCCAGCCCACAGTGCCTAACCTTACACACCCAGCCCACAGTGCCTAAACAGCACACACCCAGCCCACGGTACTGAAACACACCCAGCCCACAGTGCCACAAACAACACACACAGCCAACAGTGCCCCAACAACACACCCCGCATTACAGTGCCCCAACAACACACCCAGCCAACACACCCAGCCCACAGTGCCCCAACAGCACACCCAACACACCAAGCCCACAGTGCCCCAAACAACACACCAAGCCCACGTGCCCCAAACAACACCAGCCCACAGTACCCGACCACACCAAGCCCACAGTCAAACAACACACCAGCCCGTGCCCACACCAAGCCCACAGTGCCCAAACAACACACCAGCCCACAGTTCCAACAACACACCCAGCCCACAGTGCCGAAACACACCAAGCCCACAGTGCCCCAAACAACACACCAAGCCCACAGTGCCCCAAACAACACACCCAGCCCACAGTGCCGAAACACACAAGCCCACAGTGCCCCAAACAACACACAGCCCACAGTACAGAACACAAGCCCACGTCC